TGAGTTTGATTTCTAATACTATGTTAGACAGTAATGGTAATATTTGGCATCCTTGCCTTGCCCCTGATCTTAGAGGGAAAGGTTTTAATTTTTCAATTTGGGTATGATGGCAGCTGTGAATATAATGCAAGAGTCCTCAACAAAATCTTATTTATCTGAATTCAACAACATGTTAAAAGGATCACAAATGATCATGCAAGATTTAATCCATAGATGTAAAGATGGTTCAATCATACACTGATATATTAACATGATATACCACTTCAAGAAAAGAATAAAATAACATGATTAACTCAGTAGGTGTGAAAACGTCTTTGACAAGATTCAAACCCATTTATGATAAAGGCTCTCAAGAAAAATAAAGGCCACATGTGATAAACAAACAATTGCCATCATACCTCTTATGTGTCTAGCTATATAGGTCTTTTCTAATTTAGGTAGGTATTCCAGAGACTTCATGAACTTGTATGGTTATTTCTTTCCTTAGGTTTGGGAAGTTCTCAGCTGCTATTTCCTTAAATAAGCTCTTAGCCTCTTTCTTCCTTGTTTCACCTTCTGGGATACCCACTGTATGCTTTCCTTCCTTTTCTTAATTTTTAAAATTCATTGATCATTGATTTATAATATTATATTAATTTCAATAGTATAGCTTCACACCTCTATAAGTGTATTACCTCACCTCACCCACCACCAGTTTCACTGCCTTTCAAATTTATACCATTGATGCCTCTACTTTTTCTTCTTACCCTCTTTTCCTTCACCATCTAGTCAACACTGTATTTTTCAGTTCAATATATTTTTGTTGTGATTTGTTACTTCATTTGTTTTAGCTTTTTAAATTTCACATATAAGCTATTTGGCAATTGTCTTTCAATTCTGGATTTATTTTTCTTAGTATAATCACTTCAAGTTCCATCCATGTTTTCACAAAAGGCAGTTTCATCACTTTAAACAGTTGAATAGCAGTCCATTGTGAATGTATACCACAATCTTCACCCAGTTGTCTGTCAAAGGGCATTTAGGTTTATTCTTTGTCTTGGCTATTGAACTTTTTTTTTTTAAATAAAAAGTTTATTTTTACATCATTTAGCACATTTTTTTTTTTCATCTCAATTGTAATCCCCACGGGTTTCCCATCACCAAATCACCCCTGTGCCACCACCATTGGCTATTGAACTTTTAAGTTCTCATTTGGTTTTTAGAAAACATTTTATATATATATCAACTTTATTATAAACACTGGGGTGCCCAACTGTGCTTGAATTACTGTTTTAATATTCCTCAGATAAATGCCTTTAAGTGGCTTTATTGTGTCATATAATCTTTCTGCTTTTGTTTTCTAATGTAATCACCATACCAGTTTACATACAGGCTGCATAAATTTGCATTCCGATTAATAGTGAGTGCTCCTATTAACAGTAGAGCTCCAGTCTAGCTTTACCCTCACCATGTTTTTTAAAGTCTCTTTGATATAGGGCAAATTCACAGGCATGAAATGATATAATTGTAGCTTTGATTTGCATTTTCCTAATAAGTGAGCTTGAACATATTTTCTTGTACCTATTGGCCACCAGTAATCTTCTTTGGAGAACTGTCTATTCAAGTTCTTTGTGAATTTTTTCATTGTTTTGTTTTTGAGTGGTATAAATTCTTTACTTTGGGGGGATATTAACCCCTTATCAAATGTATAATGTGAAAACATTTTTCAAGTCAGTAGGTTTCCTTTACACTACTGTGGTGTTTTATTTATACAAAAAGCTTTTAATTATACAAAAGCTTTTAATCTGATGTAGTCTCATTTATTTGTTTATGCTTTTACTTCTTTTGCCATAGTATTTGGATCCCCAAATACACATCTGTGGTTGATTTCCAGGAATGTACTAACCTGTTTTCTTTTAACTATTTGAGGTCTTCAGGTCTTATATTAAAGTCTTTTTTAAAAAAATAATAATATGGGGCCCTCCCTGGTGGTGCAGCGGGTTAAAGCACAGCACTAAGAAGCTAAAGCCACTTCCACATGAGGTGACCACATGGCGCGTCAGACCTCTCCTGACCCGATCGTTGCTCCCCTCAGCAGTGTACTTCGTCAGTCAGCCTGTTCTGTTCCTCACTCTGTCTCTGGTGAATCCTCTCACCGCCCCAGCAATCTCTGGTCTGTACCCCAGTTCTGTATGCAGAAATAAATAAATCTTTAAAGTAAATAAATAATGTTTATTTTTACATCATTTTGCGCATTTTTCATCTCAGATGTAATCCCCGTAGGCTTCTCATCACCAAACCATCCATGTATCATCACCATAGTCCAGTGCATTATATTCAAGTCTTTAATCCATTTTGAATTAATTTTGTGTATGAATTTAAGGATTTGGTTTCATTTTTCTGCACATGGCTACCCATGTTTGTCTATGCAATCTGTTAAAGATCCTATCCTTTCTCCATTGCATGGTCATGGCATCTTCATTAAAGGTTGAATTTCCATATTTGTATGGCTTAATTTCTAAGCTCTCAATTCTATTTCATTGGTCTTTGTTTCTGTTTTCATGCTAATACCATACTATTTTAAATAATATAATAGTTTATTTTTACATCATTTTGTACATTTTTTTTTCATCTCAATTGTAATCCCCTTGGGCTTCCCGTCACCAAGTCACCCATGTGCCATCACCATAGTCCAGCGCACTTCTCTCCCCACCCGCACCCCCCATTTTTGATCCCATTCCCCACCCCAACCCCACAAAATATCTCTAGTATATGGCTGTTCATTATTCTTTTTTTAAAGATTTATTTATTTATGCATACAGAACTGGGGTACAGGCCAGAGGTGCAAGGGCGGCGAGAGGCTTCACCAGAGACAGAGTGGGGAGCAGAACAGGCAGATCGACGAAGTACACGGCTGAAGGGAGCAGCGGGCGGGTCAGGAGAGGTATGACTCGCCATGTGGTCTCCTCTGGGGCAGGCGAGAATCGAACTCATGCGGAAGTGGCTTTGGCTTCTCAGTGCTGTGCTTTAACCTGCTGCGCCACCAGGGAGGGCCCAGGGATATTTGCTTTTAGTTTTCTTTTTTGAGAGGGAATGCACTGAATCTTTATATTGCTATAGGTTAAATGGCTATTTTACCTATATTAATCC